CCATGTCAATAATTCAATGTTGACAAAAATGCAGATAGAACCTTATAGTCCCAAGCGCTCGGTTTGGTTGCATTGACAACCAAACACAATTCAATATCACTAAATATCATTACATTAGAAATCAACCAGAGCTTGAAATCCCAGGCCTATTGTATTGTCTATTTTAGGTGAATTCTGGGTTGAATTGAAACAATAGCTGTTGATGACTTTGCAAATGCAATATATGCCTAAATGGCTTCATTGATGATATACTGTATGAGTGATAAAGTATGGTCACATTTCATTTGCTCTGTTAAACCTACCCTTTGGAATGACTTCGATAGCAACAGTGAATCTGTTACATGTTTAAGTGGAGAGCTCTCAACAATCATTCTCACGATAGCACATTGGTAATAGTCAGTGACAAATATCATAGCTAAACTGGGCTTAGTTAAACTCTATATGGAAGACAAAAGACTTGCTATAGATATATAAATTCTCAAGTAGGAGATGCTGCCCAGCCTATTTTTTCTTTTTCTGATAGTGGATATAAGGTTGAAGATCTGACATTGTTTTAAAGGTACAAATTCAACATATTATATGTGATTTGCTAGTAATGCATGATTGTCTGCTAAAATAAAGGAAAAAGAAACACACATTTTTCACAAATATATATTTACACATACGAAGAATAAAACACATACAAATGGCATTCATACAGTAGAGTGGAGTCCGGGTGTGTAGACTTCCAAATATATATACAGTACATTTTTAACATACAATACAGACGTTGTCCTTGAAAATACTTTTCTTCATAGTAAGTGCTACTTCAAAAAAAAAGTTGTCCAATATGAAAACACCTTTGAATACAGTTTTAAGATATCATTAAGTTCTTTAGTAAGAAACTGTCCTGCAGTCCACGTCACATTCTGACAAATGTTACGAAACAGGGTGCATGGAATTGACTTGCCATAAGTACAGGTAGCTAATATAGAGATGTACAGTTGAAGTCGGAAGTTTACATACACCTTAGCCAAATACATTTAAACTCAGTTTTTCACAATTCCTGACATTTAATCCTAGTAAAAATTCCCTGTTTTAGGTCAGTTAGGATCACCACTTTATTTTAAGAATGTGAAATGTCAGAATAATAGTAGAGAGAATTATTTATTTCAGCTTTTATTTCTTTCATCACATTCCCAGTGGGTCAGAGGTTTACATACACTCAATTAGTATTTGGTAGCATTGCCGTTAAATTGTTTAACTTGGGTCAAACATTTCGGGTATCCTTCCACAAGCTTCCCACAATAAGTTGGGTGAATTTTGGCCCATTCCTCCTGACAGAGCTGGTGTAACTGAGTCAGGTTTGTAGGCCTCCCCTTGCTCGCACACTCTTTTTCAGTTCTGCCCACACATTTTCTATAGGATTGAGGTCAGGGCTTTGTGATGGCCACTCCAATACCTTGACTTTGTTGTCCTTAAGCCATTTTGCCACAACTTTGGAAGTATGCTTGGGGTCATTGTCCATTTGGAAGACCCATTTGCGACCAAGCTTTAACTTCCTGACTGATGTCTTGAGATGTTGCTTCAATATATCCACATAATTTTCCTTCCTCATGATGCCATCTATATTGTGAAGTGCACCAGTCCCTCCTGCAGCAAAGCACCCCCACAGCAGGATGCTGCACGGGGGTGGCTTCACGGTTGGGATGGTGTTCTTCGGCTTGCAAGCAAACCCCTTTTTCCTCCAAACATAACGGTGGTCATTATGGCCAAACAGTTCTATTTTTGTTTCATCAGACCAGAGGACGTTTCTCCAAAAAGCACGATCTTTGTCCCCATGTGCAGTTGCAAACCGTAGTCTGGATTTTTTATGGCGGTTTTGGAGCAGTGGCTTCTTCCTTGCTGAGCGGCCTTTCAGGTTATGTCGATATAGGACTCGTTTTACTGTGGATATAGATACTTTTGTACCTGTTTCCTCCAGCATCTTCACAAGGTCCTTTGCTGTTGTTCTGGGATTGATTTGCACTTTTCGCACCAAAGTACATTCATCTCTAGGAGACAGAACGCGTCTCCTTCCTGAGTGGTACGACGGCTGCGTGGTCCCATGGTGTTTATACTTGCGTACTATTGTTTGTACAGATGAACGTGGTAACTTCAGGCATTTGGAAATTGCTCCCAAGGATGAACCAGACTTGTGGAGGTCTACAACATTTTTTGCTGAGGTCTTGGCTGATTTCTTTTGATTTTCCCATGATGTCAAGCAAAGAGCCACTTAGTTTGAAGGTAGGCCTTGAAGTACATCCACAGGTACACCTCCAATTGACTCAAATGATGTCAATTAGCCTATCAGAAGCTTCTAAAGCCATGACATAATTTTCTGGAATTTTCCAAGCTGTTTAAAGGCACAGTCAACTTAGTGTATGTACACTTCTGACCCACTGGAATTGTGATACAGTGAATTATAAATTAAATAATCTGTCTGTAAACAATTGTTGGAAAAATTACTTGTGTCATGCACAAAGTGGATGTCCTAACCGACTTGCCAAAACTATAGTTTGTTAACAAGAAATTCCAACCTAAGTGTATGTAAACTTCCGACTTCAACTGTATCTGAGAGTTGGTATTGATATATGTCTTCTTGTCTCCATGCCACACTACACACACTCTTGTACTGTGTAATAGTATCTGTTTAGTTACCAATGGTCACTGTATGATTATGATTGAATAATGTTCCAGTGGTAGATGCCTGTTCCTCTTCCTACAAACACAAAAGGAATGGCCAAAACAACTAATGTTTCCTTGTTAGGAATTTACAGATGCAATTCAGGCATCATCCACCCTCCATCAGAGTGCACAGGCAAAATGGAGGAGTGGCTTTGTTTGTACCCTTACGGAAAGCTAGCAGAAAGGGCACAGAGACCATTCATTTGAATGTCAGTCCGATGACTAAGGCCCATACGCTAATGATCAGCAAAAGCATCAAAATGGTACAAACAAAAAACTTCCAGCTGACAACCTCCCACACACTTCTATATAAGACAGCTGCTTCATATTTTGAATGCCTCGCATACACCCATAAATACTGCGTAAATATATACAGTATATATACATAAAGCACCTTAATTGCATTTCTGCACTGCAAGATTTACAACATACAAAAGTATGTGGACACCTGCTCGTCAAACATCTCATTCCAAACCATGGGCATTAATATGGAGTTGGTTCCCCCTTTGCTGCTATAACAGCCTCCACTCTTCTGGGAAGGCTTTCCACTAGATGTTGGAACATTGCTGCGGGGACTTGCTTCCATTCAGCCACAAGAGCATTAGTGAGGTCGGGCACTGATGTTGGGCAATTAGGCCTGGCTCGCAGACGGCGTTCCAATTCATCCCAAAGGTGTTCGATGGGATAGAGGTCAGGGCTCTGTGCAGGCCAGTCAAGTTTCTTCCACACCGATCTCGACAAAACTTTTCTGTATGGATCGCTTTGTGCACGGGGCATTGTCATGCTGAAACAGGAAAGGGCCTTCCCCAAACTGTTGCCACAAAGTTGGAAGCACAGAATTGTCTAGAATGTCATTGTATGCTGTAGCGTTAAGATTTCCCTTAACTGGAACTAAGGGGCCTAGCCCGAACCATGAAAAACAGCCCCAGACCATTATTCCTACTCCACCTAACTTCACAGTTGGCACTATGCATTCGGGCAGGTAGCGTTCTCCTGGCATCCGCTAAACCCAGATTTGTCAGTCGGACTGCCATATGGTGAAGCGTGATTCATCACTCCAGAGAACGTGTTTCCACTGCTCCAGAGTCCAATGGTGGCGAGCTTTACACCACTCCAGCCGATGCTTGGCATTGCGCATGGTGATCTTAGGCTTGTGTGTGGCTGCTCGGCCATGGAAACCCATTTCATTAAGCTCCCGACTAACAGTTATTGTGCTGACATTGCTTCCAGAGGCAGTTTGGAACTTGGTTGTGAGTGTTGCAACCGAGGACAGATGATGTTTACGCGCTACGTGCTTCAGCACTCGGCAATTCCGTTCTGTGAGCTTGTGTGGCCTACCACTTCGCGGCTGAGCCGTTGTTGCTCGTAGACGCTTCCACTTCACAATAACAGCACTTACAGTTGACCGGGGCAGCTCTAGCAGGGCATAAATTTGACGAACTGACTTGTTGGAAAGGTGGGATCCTATGATGGTGCCACATTGAAAGTCTATGGAGATTGCATGGCTGTATGTTAAATTGTATACACCTGTCAGCAACAGCTGTGGCTGAAATAGCCGAATCCACTAATTTGAAGGGATGTCCACATACTTTACATAATCTGATTGTGAGTCGTTTCCAGCAGTTGGATGAAAACAATAATATAAAAAGTAGTGAAATTCAAATGAATGATTCCGATAGTGAACAGGGTCAATTATATGGAATTTAGAATATATGAACATACAGTAAGTGCCAGACATATACAGAATACAGTGTTTTATAGGCATACTGTTAGCCACTGAGGGGAATGTAAGGTTGATCCTATACATAATTATTCCATAGATTTAAATCAGTGCCAGAACCAAACTTCATAATTGAAGTAACATTCAGTTGTACAGGACAGATATTGGCATAAATGACAATAGTTGATAATGGTAAAGCATGTACCTTTTCACAAGTTATTAACTACCGAAAAGTGACTGTACTGTATATCTGCGTAACTTTGCCCTTAACTTGAGCTTAGATTCAGCTAGAGAAACACAGATAATAGCCTCAGAGAGCCTAGAGTTCATAGTGGTATAGATTGATGTGTATAAAAATAGCCAACAAGGGCGGTTCTTGGTTTGGCACACAGCATGTTACAAATAATACTTTTGGGCAAACACCCAGGCTTTATCTGAACTGATAATATCATAATTTGGATTGTCAAACCTCCTTTTTACATTTTTTATGTACAGTCATGTTGAAAGGACTGCCTAACATTTGAATGCTTTAAGATAAATGATCAGAATATATACATTTGGCTTCCTCTGAAAAGCAGCAAAGAAGCTTCATACATGGATACTTGAAAAAGGGTGCCAGAAAGTGATTCTCACTAAGCTGATAAAAATATTAAGTGCCCATTTCAATGTGTTAATCGAAGGTAGCAAAATTTTATTTTTTATTTATTTTTGTGCATATACAAGTGGCCCAGAGCTTCTGTTGTTAATCCCGTCAGTAGAATCATCCTATCCTCAGTCGAACGGGTTCTCTGATTTTAAGATGGAGGTCTCGATGTCGAGGCAGCCCCCCTTGCCGTTCAAGTGTTCTGTGTGGCTGTCGATGCTGTAGCAGCCCTGGACCTCGGTGATGGACGAAGCTGTGTACGAGGCAGACCGCATGGCATCTGAGTGGGCGAAGGTGCTTCCGAACTGGATACGGTACTGGTTCCAATGTCTCCTCAGAACCCCTTGCACCTACCAAGACACGATTTCGACCATAAGAAAACAGAAAATAAATCAATACAATTAGTAATAAATTACTAGTAATGAATGAACCCTAATTGCAAGACCATCCATGTATCCTAATACAGTATTTGCCTGGCCATCACCCAGGCATTCACAATTACCATATTAACCCTTGACCACTTCATGTGTTCCGTAAAGCAACCCCAATCCAAACACAAATAACTAATTAGGTAAGAAACCCTCTCAATTCAAGGAAATTCGTAAGTAAACAGCAAACCTGGTTTCAAAAAACAAATAATGCAACACCTCACAGCACAACGCCTCTCCCCCATGTGACCTACTTGTTGTGTGTATGTACTGACATTTATGTGTAACTGATAGATGCATACACACACACTTCATGTTAATGTTTTTAAATGTATGTAAATTGTAAAGTATTTTGTCTCTAATGTCTTTTTCGTTATATGTCAGACCCCAGTAAGACTAGCTATCGCCGTTGGCATTGGCTAATGGGGATCTTAATAAATCAAATAAATCAAATCAAATCGGCACTGCTCATACCACTCTGTGGACTGTCCCTTGACTGTCTCTGAATGCCTGCCAATGCTTTAATGATCTTCAATCTGAGAGAATCATCTCCAGAGGCCCACAAGCTCCCATGAAATGCTCTGGAAGGTCAACTTCCCCAGATGCATCCCCAGGTCAGGTCACATCCCGGGTAGGGTTTGCACAGAGGAAGTTGCCTAACCTCGGCTTGATCGCACAGGGAACAGAGGACAAGAATGTACAGGGGAGGAGAGGGTCGCAAAATTTCTTGAAATGGTCACAAAATTCCCTGTGAATAAGCTGCAAGGGAATCCTCCAACCTAGAATTCTTTATCTGGGATTTCAGAAAACCTGATAAATTAATGTGGGTCAGAATCTTACCTCTCCGTTGAAGAAGCAGAAGATGGTGGCCACCAGCAGCCCCTGAGAAAATAAAGCAAACAAGGGAGCCTAGTCAGTGCTTATCTGTGATAAACCCATCGCTTTAACGCCCTGGGAGAATGTCTCAAGCTCTCAAACACCCAAAACAGTCGAGCCGGGGGGCAGAATGCTGATTTTGCCAACTTTGATGCATTTTGGCAGCGGCCCTCTCGAGGAGCATGTAAAACGAGGGCGAGAGAGAGGGGTACAGAGAGAGAGAGCAGGGAAAGAGAGAGCCGTTGTAATGTATGATTTATTGAGCTGATTCAGCCTGGCACGAGAAGGCACCGACTGTACCTCATCATGAGTTGCAGAATTCAACCCTCCTCCTCCCCTCCCAGACAATGATTTATACTTTCTTCCACAGGCCATGAGATAAAGACGCATAAGTCAAAGGCTAATAGGGCGTCGACCTGGTCTTAATCCAATAATAAGAGAACACAATAAGAGACGGTGGCTTCAGACGACTGCGTTTGGCTACTTCAGTTATATTGTGGCAATGGGAATGTTACTGCTGCTTACTTCAGAAGGGGTATGGTTATTCCCCCCCCCGACACCTTAGTATGCACTTACAGACAGTACATCACTCTGGACAAGAACATCTGCCAAATTACTATGCAGATCATACACGAAAGTCATCCTAACCTTGGTTGGAAATATGGAAGATACATTACCGTAAGCCTAGAAATGTATCATGTTATATGTGAGCTAGGGTAACTAGCAGAGAATAGATAGTCTTACCTGATAATGCATTAAGATGTGCATGATGTAGTCGTAGATCTCAGAGGAGACCCGTCCCTCTGGTTTGTAGGGCAACAGGACGTACTGGATCCCCAGGAGAGGTACCAGAATCAGGGTGGCGCGCACCGCCTTCATGTAGAGGCTGGACTCAGCCTGGTGGGTCACCTTCAGCTTGGTGATCAGGACACGCACAATGTTCAACAGGAAGAACAGGTTCACCTTGAAGGAGATAGAGAGAGAAAAAGGACAGATTTGTCAGAATATAGCCTTTGAGAGGACATGTTTATCCAAAGAACCCTCAATACATAAAGAATATAAGAAATACTGTTCACGACTGTTAACAGTGTGTTTACTTCTTGATGTCAGAAAATTGTGCATTATTTCTTATCCGTTTCTGAACCACGGATAAGTTTATTAGTGGAGAGCGGACTCACACAATATTCATTACAATTCTTGAATTGACTAAACAAGGAGAAAACAGGCAGAATTCCTAAAAATAAAGAAACATCAGCACATCTGATAAAACATGCAGCTCTATACCAGATTGGACACTCAGAAAATAAATGCAAACTACAAGAGGATGCTTGATTGTCCGGTTTCCTTTGAAGACGGACCAGTGGTTTTATCAGGTCATTCCTAGAATGGCAAAGGCACGTTGTTCTGCCAAATGACTCGTGGGCGGGTCACAAATCTATCAACCTACAGGATAGTTCTGTGAAATTATTTATCTAGATATTTGTTTCCTGGGCTAGTTTAACAAAAACAAAGTGTGGTCTCTTTTTGTCCATAGACTACGTTCAAGATAAGGAAACAAAAATGAAAACAACATCCTTGAACACTGCACCCCCTTTCCATTTAAGTTTGCACTCAAGAGAAGCAGGAATATAGCTTTAGTTTTCATGCACCTAAATGTATTACAGACTTACCAACAGAGCAGCGCAGATGGGCCCATGGATGATGTAGAGGAGTGAAGTGTTGGAGCTTATCCAACAACTGTAGGAGGGGAACAGACAAATTAGCATTCAGGGTCTGCCACCTTCTTTTATGGTTTAAATTTGATTTAACAGGAGCTGCTTACAGGAAATATATTCACAAAATTGGATTGAAAACTCTAGAAGTGTGCCAACAGGATTCTAATAGGCAATATATACAGGGTAGGGAATACTTGTAGCTGTAATAGAAACTCATTACAGCAATTTGCATTATGCTGTATGAATAGCTTGTAGTTTAAGAAATGATACATTCACTGAAAACAATTGTGGTACAAATAAAGTATCAGAACGTAACTCACTTGTCATTGTAGTAGTAACTGCGAGCGATTGCATGTATAGATGCTGGAATTAGAGGAAAGCCTGAAAAACAACAACAGACATCCGTTGTCCGTGTCAAACAGTGTTACTTCCATGAAATAACGTCCAAACTTCACATCAAAATCTTAAGTGACCTACCCCAGCCGAGAAGATAGTACCACATCAAGTGCTGTTTCTCAGCAAACACTGCAACAACGATGAGGGTGTGCAGGTAAATCCCTTCACAAAGCATCCAGAAATAGTTGCAACCAAAAAGATAAAGATGGATAAACTGGGACACTTTACAGCTTGTCTGGAAAAAAGAACATAGGGCAAAAATAAGGACTGTGTTTGATCCAGGGCATGCAGTTTTTCTGTGCTTACTCTTTGAATCTCTAAAGGCAGCAGCAAATTAGCAGTGTGTATACTGCCATTGCATTGGTGTGTGGCTGTAAAATATACATATTAAAATATACATATAAAATGATCAATCTACAAAGACATTATCCATCCATCCATCCACCCACCCACCCACCCACCCACTTACTGGGTTTCTTTGTACCAGCTCCTGGTTATTCGCCACAGCGGTCAGCCAGATGATGGTAATGACCGAGTTCAATACAAAGGAAAAGAAGAGGTTTTTGTGGAGGGTGATTCGTTGGCAACTTAAACTCCTACACGAAAGGGGAAAGGAGTAGACTTTGTCATTGTGGCGTTAAAAACAGAAACACATGGGAAAAAGTAATTTAGCATCAACTGTCTGTGTCTAAAAACAGATCCAGGAACAAAACCTTTGAGTATTAAATTAGTTATATTGTTTAGTTTGTTTATACTCACTTGAAATAGAAAAATATTCCCAGGGAAATTAATAGGGATGTCAGTGACAATCCGTGACCAATGAGGGCCAAGTAGAATAAATTCATGGCAGTCTGAAAGAGATTAGACACAATAAGCCTAATATTGCCCTGGCATATTATGTGTTCTGAATTCCCTAAACCCAGCTACATGATGGCAATGCATTGATGAATCAATACAAAATGATCTTGTAAGTTAAAGTCACATTGCCCTTATAATCAAAGAGCAAAGAGTATGTTCAAGTGCTTAATGTCCATTCAATCAAAATGGCCATCTGGAAGTTTCTGCAAGAGGGCAAAGTGACATTCCTCACATGCAACAAGCAATTGCGTTTGAATTACTGGAACATCCATTTGAGATTTTTTTTCTCTAGACGGTGACGTACCATTCTGCCTTCATTAGTATGCTCGTTGCATCGTGTGTAGTTGGTCCATGTTCGGTTGCTCTCGGGATGCAGAAACCAGTGGCTGTTGTCACTGCATATTTTTGTCACCATTTCTGTAGAGCATCACATCAAAATATAAGTAGATGAAACTATAAACACAGTCTTCAAAATGCAGAGACCTGAAATTCATCTTCAAACTAGCTCCCCTTTTCTGAAGTTCTTTCCTCGTAGTAATATAATTTGCAAGTGCTTTTAAAGCAACATACAGTTGAAGTCGGAAGTTTACATACACCTTAGCCAAATACATTTAAACTCAGTTTTTCACAATTCCTGACATTTAATCCTAGTAAAAATTCCCTGTCTTAGGTCAGTTAGGATCACCACTTTATTTTAAGAATGTGAAATGTCAGAATAATAGTAGAGAGAATGATTTATTTCAGCTTTTATTTATTTCATCACATTCCCAGTGGGTCAGAAGTTTACATACACTCAATTAGTATTTGGTAGCATTGCCTTTAAATTGTTTAACTTGGGTCAAACGTTTCGGGTAGCCTTCCACAAGCTTCCCACAATAAGTTGGGTGAATATTGGCCCATTCCACCTGACAGAGCTGGTGTAACCGAGTCAGGTTTGTAGGCCTCCTTGCTCGCACACGCCTTTTCAGTTCTGCCCACACATTTTCTATAGGATTGAGGTCAGGGCTTTGTGATGGCCATTCCAATACCTTGACTGTTGTCCTTAAGCCATTTTGCCACAACTTTGGAAGTATGCTTGGGGTCATTGTCCATTTGGAAGACCCATTTGCGACCAAGCTTTAACTTCCTGACTGATGTCTTGAGATGTTGCTTCAATATATCCACAAAATGTTCCTTCCTCATGATGCCATCTATTTTGTGAAGTGCACCAGTCCCTCCTGCAGCAAAGCACCCCCACAGCATGATGCTGCCACCCCCTTGCTTCACGGTTGGGATGGTGTTCTTCGGCTTGCAAGCCTTCCCCTTTTTCCTCCAAACATAACGATGGTCATTATGGCCAAACAGTTCTATTTTTGTTTCATCAGACCAGAGGACATTTCTCCAAAAAGTACGATCTTTGTCCCCATGTGCAGTTGCAAACCGTAGTCTGGCTTTTTTATGGCGGTTTTGGAGCAGTGGCTTCTTCCTTGCTGAGCGGCCTTTCAGGTTATGTCGATATAGGACTCGTTTTACTGTGGATATAGATACTTTTGTACCTGTTTCCTCCAGCATCTTCACAAGGTCCTTTGCTGTTGTTCTGGGATTGATTTGCACTTTTCGCACCAAAGTACATTCATCTCTAGGAGACAGAACGCGTCTCCTTCCTGAGCGGTATGACGGCTGCGTGGTGCCATGGTGTTTATACTTGCGTACTATTGTTTGTACAGATGAACGTGGTACCTTCAGGCGTTTGGAAATTGCTCCCAAGGATGAACCAGACTCGTGGAGGTCTACAATTTTATTTCTGAGGTCTTGGCTGATTTCTTTAGATTTTCCAATGATGTCACGCAAAGAGGCACTGAGTTTGAAGGTAGGCCTTGAAATACATCCACAGGTACACCTCCAATTGACTCAAATGATGTCAGGTAGCCTATCAGAAGCTTCTAAAGCCATGACATAATTTTCTGGAATTTTCCAAGCTGTTTAAAAAGGCACAGTCAACTTAGTGTATGTAAACTTCTGACCACTGAAATTGTGATACAGTGAATTATAAGTGAAATAATCTGTCTGTAAACAATTGTTGGAAAAATTACTTGTGTCATGCACAAAGTAGATGACCTAACCGAATTGCCAAAACTATAGTTTGTTAACAAAAAGTGGTTGAAAAACGAGTTTTAATGACTCCAACCTAAGTATATGTAAACTTCCGACTTCAACTGTAGCTTCTGAAAACTCTGGGGCTTGAATACAAAGGAACGTAGATTGGAAAAGGCATTTTATAAAAAAATTGACAGGACTTTCCCATTCAAAACGACCAAACCAGCTCAGATGGAGGAATGATTGCTGTGTCTGCCTCAAACCCAATGTTTCTCAATGCTGATCCTGGGGGACCCACTGTAGGTTGAATTTCACTATCACTGATATCACTCAATTAGACCAAGGGTCTCCTACTCCCATCCTGGAGAGGCAGCCTATAGGGAGGAGGTCAGAGACCTGGCAGTGTGGTGCCAGGACAACAACATCAGCAAGACAAAGGAGCTGATCGTGGATTACAGGAAATGGAGGGGCGAGCACGCACCCATCCACATCGATGGGGCTGTAGTGGAGCAGGTCGAGAGCTTCAAGTTCCTCGGTGTCCACATCACTAAGGAATTAACATGGTCCACACACACCCATACAGTTGTGAAGAGGGCACAACTGTGTGGGAGGCTGAAAAGATTTGGCATGGGTCCTCGGATCCTCAAAAAGTTCTAGAGCTGTACCATTGAGAGCATCTTGGCTGCATCACCCTTAGTACGGAAACTGCAAGGCGCTACAGAGGGTGGTGAGCACGGCCCAGTACTTCACTGGGGCCGAGCTCCCTGCCATCCAGGACCTCTGTACCAGGCGTCAGAGGAAGGCCCCAAAAAATTTCAAAGACTCCAGCCACCCAAGCCATTGACTGTTCGTTCTGGTACTGCACGGCAAGCGGTACCAAGTCTGGAACCTGAACAGTTTCTACCCCCACTGCTAATCAGATGGCTATACAGACTACCTGCATTGACCCTTTTTTTGCAGTAACTCTTGCACTGACTCTATGCACACACACTTTTTTTCTTCACAAACTCTCCCGCACTGACTATGTACACACACTGGACTCTACCCACAAAGTCACACATACTTACACTGACACCCCCTTACACACACACACACATAACACATGCATACTGACGCCACATACACACTCACTTTCTAGTCATTTAGCAGATGCTCTTTTCCAGAGCGACTTACAGTTAGTGAGTGCATACCTTTTCATACTGGCCCCCCGTGGGAATCGAACCCACAACCCTGGCGTTGCAAACGCCATGCTCGACCAACTGAGCTACACGGATGGCCACCACCTACGATGCTGCTATTGTGTATTATCTATCCTGTTGCCTAGTCACTTTACCCCTACCTATAGCTACCTCAATTACCTCATACCCCTGCAAATCAACTCGGTACTGGTACTCCCAGTATGTTATTTTTACTCTTTATTGTTATTCGTTATTCACTATGTCACTATTTCAATATATTTATTTTTAATCTTTAACCCTGCATTGTTGGAAAAGGACCCGTAAGTAAGCATTTCATTGTTGGTCTACACCTATTGTTTACAAAGCATGTGACAAATAAAATGTGATTTGATTTAACATGGTGTGCAGGCTTTTGTTCCAGCCCAGCACTAACACACCAGATAAAACTGGTTGTGGTCCAGACTTATGACCATAATTAGATGATAATTTGAAACAGATGTGCTAGTGCTGGGCTAGAACAAAATCCTGTGGTTTATTAGTACAGCATATCTACTTGGTACCAGTGAACTGGAACACCCTGAATCTGCAATTTTAGAAGTATTCTAAGATAGAACATGACACAGAAGGCACAGAATAAGTTGGAGGAAAAACAAAAAGAAATGGAGGAACTTATTCAAAAAAGATCAAGTGTTATATATTATAAAAATAAAGCGAACTGGATGGAATACGGGGAAAAATAGAACCAAAAAGAATTTACAGAAACTTGTTACAAATGATGGAATCATCCATGATTCACCAAATGACATTTTGAAAGAAGAAACAAAGTACTTTAAGCATATGTTTTCATTTCAGTCTCCTCCATTTCCACTAACTGAAGTTAACTGCAAGGATTTTTTCCCCTATTAATAGTGTAAAATTAACAGCTATACAGAAAGACACAGAGGAGGAACTACTAGATGCAATTAAAGCCTTCAAGTCCAGGAAAACTCCAGGGCTGGATGGCACACCAGTTGAGGTATATCAAATATTTTTCGATGTACTCAAAGGTCCGTTATTATGATGTTTTAACCACTCCTATAAAAATTGTAGACTATCAGACACTCAGCAAGGTCTGATTTGACTATTACTGAAACAGGATCCAGATGGTAAATATAAAGATCCAGTCCACCTTAAACTGGAGACCCCTTACACATCAGTGTTGTGATGCCAAAATCCTAACAAAATGCATAGCGCATAGAATTAAAAAAGGTATTGTCGGGTATTATTCATCCTAATCAGACAGGTTTTTTACATAGACGATACATTGGCGATAAGTTAAGACAAGTACTGGAAACAATAGAACACAATGAAAAATCTGGGAAACTAGGCCTGGTATTCATAGCTGACTTTGAAAAGGCCTTTGATAAAGTACAACTGGAATTTATATTTGAATGCCTGGACTATTTTAATTTTGGAGAATCTCTTATACAATGGTTTAAAGTGATGTATAGTAACCCCAGGTGTAAAATAGTAGGCTGTCCATTATCGGCATATCTATTAATTATGGCCATTGAAATGTTAGCTATTAAATTCAGATCCAACAATAATAACAAGGGGCTAGAAATCCAGGGCTTTAAAAAAAAAAGTCTCATTGTACGCTGACGATTCATGTTTTCTTTTAAATCCGCAATTTGGATCCCTCCACAGCCTCAGAGGATCTAGATAATTTCTTTAACCTCTCTGGATAAAAACCTAATTATGTTAAGTGCACCATATTACGTATTGAATCTCTAAAAAATACAACTTTTACATGATCGTGTAGTTTACCAATAAAATGGTCCAACGGTGAAGTGGACATACTCGGCATTTATATCCCAAAATAAATAAATAAATAAATAATCTCACGACAATATATTTTAATAGAAAGTTTGCCAAAATAGATACGATTTTAACTACCATGGAAAGGACAACACCTGTCTATTTGTGGAAAAATCACCCTGATAAATGATTTAGTCATATCCCAGTTTACCTATTTACTTATGGCCCTGCCTACACCTAATGACTTGTTTTTTTTATTATATGAGCAAAAAATATTCCACTTTATTTGGAACAGCAAGCCAGACTAAATTCAATGGGCCTATTTATATAATGAATATGAATTTGGAGGGCAGAAATGATTAAATATTAAAGCAATGGACCTCTCACTAAAGGCTTCAGTCATACAAAAACTATACTTAAATCCAAACTGGTTCTCTAGCAGAATAGTAAAAATGGCTCACCCCGTGTTCAAGAATGGCCTTTTCCCCTTCATTCAGATTACAACCTCTCACTTTCGGTTATTTGAAAATGAAATCATCTCCAAAATATCGCTATTTTTAAAACAAGCAATAGAAAGCTGGTTGCAATTTCAGTGTAATCCACCAGAAAAGACAGAACAAATATTATGGTTAAACTCAAATATACTAATTGATCATTTTAAAAAAACATTATGGAGGAGGCAAGTTGTGAGAGTGTGATTTGAAAGAGTCAGGCACAAGAGGGTAAATCACAGAATACAGAGTTCATTCCGTAGTACACAGTTACGCTGGATAGACTCAACAGTCCAGTGCGCAAAACAGGCGCACTGGAAAAATACAGGCACACAGGGAAAATATACCCCGGCAATACAAAGTACAGGTAGCTCCACCGAGCTACACTCATCTCACATGAAACAATCACCCAAAAGGACAAGGGGGCAGAGGGAACACTTAAACACATACTAATGAGGAGAATATGAACCAGGTGTGTGTAATTGACAAGACAAGACAAATGGAATGATGAGATATGGAGTGGCAGTGGCTAGAAGGCTGGTGACGACGAACGCTGAAGCCTGCCCGAACAAGGAGGGGAGGCAGCTTCGGAGGAAGTCGTGACACAAGTGGAAAGGGGAGAAGGTAAGGAACTTGTCTGTCAGCACTGCATTAAAGACCAAAATTGGCTTGAATTTAGCTGCGAAGAGAGTCATTTGATCACTTGTTTTGGTACTGCCCATATGTAGCTTGTTTTTGGTCGCAGGTTCAGGAATGGCTGAAAAAATTCAGCATTTACTTTGATCTAACTCTGCAAATAGCACTGCTGGGTGATTTGATAAGTCATAGTCAATCAATCAGTAATATAATAATACTCTTAGCAAAGGTGTTTATCTTTAATTTACAATCTGTAGAAAACTATGAGAATAGAAAGCTTCAGAACTTTTGTGAAACATCACAGCACAATGGAAAAATATATGGCAGCTAGAAAAACACTGGATGGTCTTCAAAGATAGATGGGAGGGGTTAAGGGTAGCTGAAGGCTGGGACTAAAAACAAACAAAAGATAACTACCGGTAATGTAAAATATACTGTCCGTGAAATGTATGTAGTATTTATAAGATGGAAGTGGATACCTAAGTATTATTGTCCATTAGTTTACTCCAATTGGGGGAGGGGTGGTAGGGTTAGGGGAAAATAATAAAGAAGGAAAATATATAAAAATATATATTTTTAATAATATATATTTACAAAAAAATATATGGGAGATTGGAAATGATGCAGACAATTACATTGATAGAAGCCACAATCTGCAAAAACGTTTTTAAAAAGGACAGCACATGACACATCTGAAATAGCTAGAATGATTAAAAGTTACATTTTGGGCATTTAATTGAGCATTGTTGATGGGAGTTATGGGTTGAAATGACATGGGTCCCCTGTCCCCAGGAACTCTAGCCAATGTCATTGGGAACTTCGTGGGCTCACCTGAGGGGTCAAAGTCCTGGAAGTAGTCAGGGCAGTGCTGCTCTGAAGTGAAGCCTGCCTCTGTGTCGTCCCAGCACAGCCACCCATCCCAGGTCCGGTTACACACTGGACCTGCAGCATAGAAACAATCAGAGAAGAAACCTGTTCAAATAAAGCACTGAGAGGTAAGGACACTGACACTGTCTGTTACACAAAGCAGGTCAAGCCAATACGCAGTTTAAATCAATATGCGATGGAAGTACATACAGTGCCTTCAGAAAGTATTCACACCCCTTGACCTTTTCCACATTTTGTTGTGTTACAGCCTGAATTTAAAATCGATTACATTTATATATTTTTTGTCACTGGCCTACACACAATACCCCATAATGTCAAAGTGGAATTAAAAATGAAAATTTGAAATGTCTTGAGTCAATACGTATTCAACCCCTTTGTTTTGGCAAGCCTACATAAAATTCAGGAGGAATAATTTTCTTAACAAGTCACATAATAAGTTGCATGGACTCACTGTGTGCAATAATAGTGTTTACATGATTTTTTTAATGACTGCCTCATCTCTGTACCCCACACATACAATTATCTGTAAGGTCTCTCAGTCAAGCAGTGAATTTCAAACACAGATTCAACCACAAAGACCAGGGAGATTTTCCAATGTGTTGCAATGAAGGGAACCTATTGGATGGGTAAAAATAAAAAAGTATACAGTAAATACCCCTTTGAGCATGGTGAAGTTATTAATTACACTTTGGATGGTGTATCAATACACCCAGTCACTACGAAGATACAGGTGTCCTTTCTAACTCAGTTCCTGGAGAGGAAGGAAACCACTCAGGGATTACACCATGAGGCCAATGGTGACTTTAAAACAGTTACAGAGTTTAATGGCTGTTATAGGAGAAAACTGAGGATGGATCAACAATATTGTAGTTACTCCACAATACTAACCTAATTGACAGTGAAACGAAGGAAGCCTGTACAGAATACAAATATTCCAAAACATGCATCCTGTTTGCAACAAGGCACTAAAGTAATACTGCAACAAATGTGGCAAAGCAATACATTTTTTGTCCTGAATACAAAGTGTTATGTTCGGGGCAAATCCAATACAACACATTACTGAGTACCACTCTCCATATTTTCAAGCATAGTGGTGGATACCTCATGTTATGGGTATGCTTGTAATCGCCATCTCCTGAGTGGCGCAGTGGTCTAAGGCACTGCATCGCAGTGCTAGCTGTGCCACTAGAGATCCTGGTTCGAATCCAGGCTCTGTCGTAGCTGGCCGTGACCGGGAGACCCATGGGGCGGCGCACAATTGGCCCAGCGTCGTCTAGGGGAGGGAATGGCCAGCAGGGATGTAGTTCAGTTGGTAGAGCATGGCGTTTGCAACACCAGGGTTGTGGGTTTGATTCCCACGGGGGGCCAGTATGAAAAATAAAAAATTTATGCACTCACTAACTGTAAGTCGCTCTGGATAAGAGCGTCTGCTACATGACTAAAATGTAAATGTTAAGGACTGGGGAGTTTTTCAGGATAAAAAAGAAACAGAATAGACCTAAGCAGAGGAAAACCTGGTTCAGTCTGCTTTCCACCAGACACTGAGATTAATTCACCTTTCAGCAGGACAATAACCTAAAACACAATGGCAAATTTACAGTTTTTACTTAAATCTGCTTGAAAGAAAGTCTTCAAAATGGTTGTCTAGCCATGATCAACAACCAATTTGACAGACCTTGAAGAATTTTGAAGATAATAATGGGCAAATGTTGCACAATCTAGGTGTGTGAAGCTCTTAGAGACATAGCCAGAAAGACCCACAATCGCTGACAAAGGTGCTTCTACAAAGTATTGACTCAGGGTTGTGAATACTTATGTAAATGAGATATTTCTTCATTTTCAATACACACTGAAAAAAATGGTGCTTTGAATTTACTTAATTAAAATGTGTACATTGGTTCCACATGAATGAAACATGTTAGATAAACACAATTATTCTTTTTCAGTTTACTTATTTTCTTTTTGTCAAGCAAATATAAATTGTTCAAGTAAATGCATTGTAATGGAATATAATCAATTTAACATGATTTGGTAAAGCTAATTTTATTTGAATGAAATGTGTAGCTTCAAATGGATTTGATCATGTTCCCTAAACCTGATCACTACTTAACCTGGTAGAGCACGGTGCTTGTAACGCCAAGGTAGTGGGTTCGATCCCCGGGACCACCCATACACAAAAAAAATGTATGCACGCATGACTGTAAGTCGCTTTGGATAAAAGCGTCTGCTAAATGGCATATTATTGTTATTATTATTATTAATAATTAACATTTTATTGATGATATTACTCATTATTATGTAGAACTTTGTTTTGGACAAGGTTCTACATAATTATTAATGTAAGCACAAGATTAAATGCTGCCATTTTCTACCTTAATGTTTGTATTTACACAAATTAATAGGGAAATAAAAAGTTTATGCTAAAGATGTATAACCAAGGAGCAAGAGACCATTTGCGTCAGTGACAAAGAAGGCAAAAGGCATGTGTTTAAAAAATGATACTGTCTTTTTTGTAACGATTCAGTGTTCAATGAATTGCGCAGTTCTAAATCACAATGCTATACATCTGTATTAAATAAATAAGAAGATTTGTCCTAACAATGCATTTTGTTACAAAATGAGGTAGTTATTTTTCATAAGGAGTAACATAGACAAAGAATGAGGTAGGTACAGTGGGGAGAACAAGTATTTGATACACTGCCGATTTTGCAGGTTTTCCTACTTACAAAGCATGTAGAGGTCTGTAGTTTTTATCATAGGTACACTTCAACTGCGAGAGACGGAATCTAAAACAAAAATCCAGAAAATCACATTGTATGATTTTTAAGTAATTAATTTGCATTTTATTGCATGACATAAGTATTTGATCACCTACCAACCAGTAAGAATTCCGGCTCTCACAGACCTGTTTGTTTTTCTTTAAGAAGCCCTCATGTTCTCCACTCATTACCTGTATTAACTGCACCTGTTTGAACTCGTTACCTGTATAAAAGACACCTGTCCACACACTCAATCAAACAGACTCCAACCTCTCCACAATGGCCAAGACCAGAGAGCTGTGTAAGGACATCAGGGATAAAATTGTAGACCTGCACAAGGCTGGGATGGGCTACAGGACAATAGGCAAGCAGCTTGGTGAGAAGGCAACAACTGTTGGCGCAATTATTAGAAAATGGAAGAAGTTCAAGATGATGGTCAATCACCCTCGGTCTGGGGCTCCATGCAAGATCTCACCTCGTGGGGCATCAATGATCATGAGGAAGGTAAGGGATCAGCCCAGAACTACACGGCAGGACCTGGTCAATGACCTGAAGAGAGCTGGGACCACAGTCTCAAAGAAAACCATTAGTAACACACTACGCCGTCATGGATTAAAATCCTGCAGCGCACGCAAGGTCCCCCTGCTCAAGCCAGCGCATGTCCAGGCCCGTCTGAAGTTTGCAAATGACCATCTGGATGATCCAGAGGAGGAATGGGAGAAGGTCATGTGGTCTGATGAGACAAAAATAGAGCTTTTTGGTCTAAACTCCACTCGCCGTGTTTGGAGGAAGAAGAAAGATGAGTACAACCACAAGAACACCATCCCAACCGTGAAGCATGGAGGTGGAAACATCATTCTTTGGGGATGCTTTTCTGCAAAGGGGACAGGACGACTGCACCGTATTGAGGGGAGGATGGATGGGGCCATGTATCGCGAGATCTTGGCCAACAACCTCCTTCCCTCAGTAAGAGCATTGAAGATGGGTCGTGGCTGGGTTTTCCAGCATGACAACGACCCGAAACACACAGCCAGGGCAACTAAGGAGTGGCTCCGTAAGAAGCATCTCAAGGTCCTGGAGTGGCCTAGCCAGTCTCCAGACCTGAACCCAATAGAAAATCTTTGGAGGGAGCTGAAAGTCCGTATTGCCAGCGACAGCCCCGAAACCTGAAGGATCTGGAGAAGGTCTGTATGGAGGAGTGGGCCAAAATCCCTGCTGCAGTGTGTGCAAACCTGGTCAAGACCTACAGGAAACGTATGATCACTGTAATTGCAAACAAAGGTTTCTGTACCAAATATTAAGTTCTGCTTTCCTGATGTATCAAATACTTATGTCATGCAATAAAATGCAAATTAATTACTTAAAATTAATACAATGTGATTTTCTGGATTTTTGTTTTAGATTCCGACTCTCACAGTTGAAGTGTACCTATGATAAAAATTACAGACCTCTACATGCTTTGTAAGTAGGAAAACCTGCAAAATCGGCAGTGTATCACATACTTGTTCTCCCCACTGTATGTGTACATTTTTGTGCATGTTAATTCTATTGACTAAAAGTCACTACAAAGTGAAACTGAACTTTTTCCATAAGCCGCAAAGACAATTAAGGGCATCTACTCAAAACACCATACAAAATATCTAACAAAATCACGATAGCTCCATCTTTGGACATGCTCATTCTGTTTTGAGTTTTTGTGAACAATATAACAAGTTCAACATAAGTCAAACATACAGTGTGAAACACAACATACAGTCTGAAACACAACACACAACAAAACAGCTCACTGAAACAGCCTGTTTTTAAATGCAACAGCTTTGTTAGAAAGTTTGTCCCCATTTAGTTCCATAAAAACCTTCTGAAAGACTTCAAAGGTGTGGCGGAGCTCAGTAGGGTAACTGAGGTTCATGGCTTACATGAGGCTGAACAGCATTGCAACAGCAAATGTTACGTTGCCCAGATCCTGCAGCACCTTGACGCCTTCAAGGACAATCCCAGTGTCCTCTGGTAACTCACTCACTGCATGGTCTGTGATAATGTAGATCCCCACAGTAGTGTACTCAATGGCTGGCATAGTGGACTCTTCATCCATGCCCTGAACAAGACACAAAGGAAAAACTTGTCAATCATACAAAATGAATCATTCATCAATGAAGTGTTTACAGTTAGGGACTCTAGATTGCAAAATGTATAGCTCATGAAGCGCAAGAGCATGATACAGACAGAAATAAATCAAGACTGGAGTCCTTTTAAGTGTCAACTAAATCAAGAACTGCTGGTAATATTTGAACACCGCCTATTACAAGGCTAAAATTAAAAGTGG